ATATATATATATATATATAAAATGTACAGATATATATGCGTATATATAGATATATATATGTATGTATTTATATATATAGACAGTATAAAACAGGAAATAAATAAAAATAAAAATAAATAATTAATAAATAAATAATTATTTATTTTATTTCTTTTTTATACACCGCAGGTCTATTCGGGTGTACGTACAGCTGAAATCGCAGCAAATGCGTATTTCATGTTAATAAATAAATAAATAAATAAATAAATAAAATAAATAAATAAAATAGATAAATAAAATAAATAAATAAATAAAATAATTTATTTTATTTATTATAAATAAAGACAATTTGCTGCGGCTGATCGTTTGCACCTCCGCATGCATTTATTTATTTTATGCATTTATTTATTTATTTATTTATTTATTTATTTATTTATTTATATACAGGGATTAATATAAATTTATTAATAATTAATTCAATGAATTAATTAACTAGTATAATAATAAATAAAAAAAGGGTAGATTTAATTAATAATTAATTAATTAATTAATTAATTAAACAAGGGAGATAAACAAGAAAAGTAGTTATATAGGTATAATAAGGAGGTAATAGGAAATAAACAAGAAGGTATACAACTATTATTTATTATTATTATTATTTATTGCTATTTATTATTATTAATTAGTATTAGTATTATTAAGGGGAAATAAAGAAAAGAAAACAATTTATATAAACAATAAAATAATAAATTAATTAAACTGCTGCTGTTCTATCCGCAACAACTCTGAGCCATCACACCGCTGCATGCATGCATGCATGCAGCCCTATGCATGCATGCATGCATGCATGCATGCATGCATGCATGGAGAGCGGTGTCTCTATAAAGGCAGCGAAAAAGCCCCTAAGAAAGGGAGGCAGCTGCGGTGACTCGAGAACAGTTGCCCACACCACACGTGCATGCATGCATGCATGTGCTTTTGCATGCATGCGTGCATGCATGTATTTATGCATGCATGCATGCATGCAGAGTCCCTCTATGGAAAAAAAGCGGAAGGGGCACAACGAGGTGTACATACACTGCAGCAAAGCTGTTTGTGCTGCAGCAAGGATGTACGGCAGCCCCCAGGAAGAAGGAAGAAGAGAGGTAGAGGAGAGGAGGATAAGGAGAGAAAAAAGGAAATAAATAAATAAATAAAGAAGAATATAATAAGAAATAAATAAATAAATAAATAAATAAATAAATAATTTATTGATAAAGACTTGTTTGCTTCATAATCGCCATAAATTCCTCAAAGCTAACTGAACGAAACAAACAAAACACACAAAACCCTAAACCCTAAACCCTAAACCCTAATTCTTTCTGTCAGTTCATTTGCTGCTGTGTAAATAAATACACCTCAATACGCAACAAAAATAATAATAAATAAATAAATAAATCGTAAAAAGCACCAAGAAGTATAAAGAAATACAATAATGTATATAGAAGTACATTAGCTAATGGTACGTAGATACACAAGAAGATAATAAATAAATACGTTATAAATAAATACATACAATATACTAAAAAATAAAAACAAAATAAAACAAATAAATAAAATAAATAAATAAATAAATTTGCATGCATTAAAAAGCCCCACTCTCTCCATCCATATCGCGATCGAATTCATCAATCATTGCCTGCAGTTCTTCATCAGAAAGATTTTCCCCCTAAGAAAAAAAAAAGAAACAAACAAACAAATAAATAAATAAATAAATAAATAAGATTAATTTAACAAGAAAAAGCAACAAAAAAGACAAAAAATAAGGAGAGAAAACAAAAAAGTTCTCTTTCCACTTTCCTGCATATCTATCATCAATTGAGGTGTACGTACACCTCAGAAATTCAAATTTTTTTGTATTTTTTGAATTTTCGTGTTAAAATAATATTATAAGAAAATAAATAAATATATAAATGAATAAATAAATAAATAAATATATTTTTAATTATTATTTATCTATTAATTAATTTATATTTCTTACCAATTCTCTAGATACTCTACGTAAATTCTTAACAGATATTTTTCCTGTATCGTCATCATCAAAAAGATGAAATGCTTTTCGCATTTCTTCTGATGGATCACGATCTAAATATTTCTGCGTCACTACAGCAACAAAAAAGGAGAAAAAAAAAAAAAAAAGAAAATAAAAAGGGAGAAACAAAATAAATATATAGAAGGGAAAAAAGGAAAGCA